CATAGGTAAACCCTCGACTCTTGGCATGCCAACTATACCCTAGCTCTCATATCATATAACATGGGCATTATCATTTATAACATTTCATATCACTTGTATCACAAGTGCATGTATTCACGAGATCGTTTCATATGACTTATACCATTTCTCATTTGTTCATGTAACTTGCATGTCATATCATGTAACATATAACACATAATCATATAGACTTACGGTTTATCACCTATCATGTTATTTCACTTATAACTTTTATATCACATAAACTCATATATATAGATCATGTCACATAACTTATCATAATTATTTGATATTCCTATATTCTCATATTCATATATTATAGTTCACTTTCACATATCACATTTTCCTTTTCTCCTATTTTTCATCATGTCTCTTATAACCACATATGTCTGTCTTATCTCATATCCTATAATTCTTTAGCTTATATCTTATATCACATGTTTATATCATATAAATTATGTAATCACATATACTATTTATACTAGTTCACATAGCTTATTTCACTAACATGTATTCACACAATTCATGTAACATATGCAATAATATATATATCACATACACTCATTTATATAAGCTCTACTATGGAAAATAAATTACCACTATTCCCATAGTAATCCCATAGACATGTAACTTTTCATGCATGTTCATTTCAAGCATATCAAATAATGCATATGGTATGAATTCATATCATGTTCATAATATTGAATGAATCAGTATCAAAATATTAAATCTAGACTATCGCAAGTCTAGAACTAAATATACTAACATAATCATGCTTGCATATGCACTCACCTGGCCTCATAGTCCATTTCAATCTCTTATCTTCCCTTTTATCGATCTTACTTGTCAATGATTCTGGAACTCGTTTAGGCTGAATCTACATAATTATATTTTAAGACAATTATTATATACCTACACCTTTTAATTGGATACTAGCAACTTAAACGAACTTATTAAACCAATATTAACATTTTCCTTTAGGGGGAATCGGTTCCCCTGTGGGGGTATCGGTTCCCCTCTGGCATTCTGGAATTCTGTCGTTGAAGGGGTATCGGTTCCTTGAATGGGTACCGATTCCCCTTGCCCAGAAATCATATTTTAGCTCGAATATCACTTCATTTTCTCAAACACTTCATATATCACCCCTTTCATTCTTAACTCTAGTACACATACTTAAACAATCTATATTCATTTATTTCATCTTAAACCTCAAAATCCTATCATCCATATAAGATTCAAAAAATCATACAAATTTTCAATGTGTTCTAAATCAAATTCTATCACTCCAAATCTCTTATTTAACCATGACAAGTCAAATTAACTTCAAATTCTATTATCAATTTTTCCAAAGTTTCATATAAAAACTCCTAATCTTAATCTCTCAATCCTCCATTCTTTGATTTTTACTGTAACCCAAGCTTCCTTATGTTTATCCATCAACTAAAGATCAAAAACAAGCTTAAAATTCAAATAATAATCAACTAATAAAACTTCACCTTTGCCTTGCTCTCCCACGCATGAAGAAGAAGAAAGGAGAAGAGAACTCTGGATATTTCTCCCATTTCCCACGTGTATATAATTCTTAAATGATCAAATGACCATTTTACCCTTTATTCCTTAACAATTACAAAATAACCTTCATCATGTATCCAATAATCATTGAACTATCATTCTTATACTTTAGTCACCAAATTCTGAAACTTTACAATTTGGTCACTAACCCGATATTAAGGATGTTACCATATACATTCAGTAATCTTTTATTATTTAACAAAACATTGTAATCTTACATTTCTGCTAAACAAACCAAGCACGACAATACAACATTCTCAGTAATGTGTAGGTAATGTTACATTCCGGTAATTCTATTCCCGAAGGTAATGCTACATTCCATAAACCAAACGCACCATCGAGTCATGGTTAGTTATAATTTCAAAAATACATAACAAAATATACAAATGATGACATGAAAACAAAAATAATACAAAAATAATAATCATGCACTGAATTGGATAACATATGATTCAAGAATCATCCATGCTTTGCAGCATAAGTCGTAAAAGTATATTGAATTCTAACATTGTATATTTTAAGTTTTAAAATTTAAGATAATGTTTTCTTATGAGAGAATTAATGAGATATTCTTCTAAATATGATTGATTTTTCATAAAATTTATTCGAAATCGACTAAAATTTGAAATTAATGAATTTATTTCTTCTACCTGTGATATTTTTCAAAAAAAATTACCAAAAATCTTAGTGTCCCATTGTTGTGCGATTACTGTACTTTCTAACGATTATTTTTTTAAAAATATATAGTGAAACTAATAATAGCATTAATTTGATTATATATACGTGGTGGCATGCGTTGGTTCTTTTACACACGAAGCTGATTCAAATCTTTTGAAGTTAAGCCTGAGTGGGAGCTTTTCGCCATGGCCCTTCATCTTCACCTCTGTTCTTACCAATAGTTTCATCACAAACACACGAAAGCACAAAGTCGACAACTCGAGCGTCCTTCGAGCACCCCGTTTGTCGCTGCTATGACCAATGGTCGGATCAAAAATTTATCAGTCGACGATCTGCTAATTACCATCCTTCAATTTGGCAATACGACGACATTCAGTCGCTCAAGAGCAACTATCAGGTATGCATATACATTGAAGACATGGGTTTGAATCCACTATGCGTAAACTCTTCAATTTCGCACATGGCTTGTCTCTTCAGATATTCAAGGGAATCTCGAATCTGTGAAATCTTTATGCGATATATCGATTGTTAAATATTCAGCATTGTCCGAAGAAAGATATTTTACATTCTCCCGAAGGAGTCATGAGATTCTAGAAAAAGTTACAAGGATTATTTTATGCAAAGCTGAGAGAGTTGTTTTGCTTTCTATGTAGGATGAATCGTTTAATGAAGAAGCGATGAGACTCGTCGAAGAGGTTCGGATGATGCTCAAAAAAGCGATGAAGCCTTTGGAGAAACTGAGCTAATCGATACATTGCAGAGGCTGGGATTATTACCATTTTCAGAACGAAACCAAGAGGTATTGGAGGGTATAAGGTCTGATGAAGGCGAGTTTTCGTGGGAAACGGACAATTATACGCTACAGCACTTGAGTTTAGGCTCCTAAGGCAGCACGGTTTTAAAGTTACTCAAGGTAGGAAGTAGAGTGCAGAACAAAATGCTCTGTAAATTGTAAGACTAAACTTGATCAAATTAGAGTATAGGGACTAAATCACACCTTACGCATAGAACATGAACTAATTGCGGAACTTGACCTAAAATTGGATATACGTGCAGAGGCTTTCCTAATTTTCAGGAGGAATGGGGAACTTCAAGCAAGGGTTTGCGAGGACTGGAAGTAGAGTGCAGAACAAAATGCTCTGTAAATTGTAAGACTAAACTTGATCAAATTAGAGTATAGGGACTAAATTCACACCTTACGCATAGAACATGAACTAATTGCGGAACTTGACCTAAAATATGTGATATACGTGCAGAGGCTTTCTCTAATTTTCAGGAGGAAATGGGGAACTTCAATGCAAGGGTTTGCGAGGACTGTAAAGGGCTTCTTAGCTTGTATGAAGCTTCATACCTTTCGGTAGAAGGAGAAGGCATCTTGGACACCGCAAAGGATTTCGCAACCGAACAACTTAAAACATCTTCAGCAAAATAAAATAGAAGAACATTTGAGGATGCTGGTGGAGCATGCTTTGGAACTTCCTCTGCATTGGAGGGTATCGAGGTTGGAAGCCAGGTGGTTTATAGATTTGTACCAGAAAAGACAGGATGCAAACCCTTTGCTTTTGGAGCTTGCTAAATTGGATTTTAACATTGTGCAAGCAGTTCACCAAGATGACCTAAGATATGCCTCCAGGTGGTGGAATGATACACGCCTAGCAGAGAAGCTAAGCTTTGCGAGGGACAGGTTGATGGAGCACTTTTTTTGGTCGATGGGGAATATATTTGATCCTCAGTTTGGTAACATAAGGACAACTTTTACAAAAGTCTATTCATTAATAACAACTATAGATGATGTGTACGTGTATGGTACATTGGACGAGTTAGAGCTCTTCACTCAAGCAGTTGAGGAGGTGCGTTTATATAATTTGCACTATGTCTATGCAGTGGCCTAAATTGGAGAGATTAGTCCAACGGAACATTGGACTATAACCTTCTAAAATTTTATAACTCCATAAACGAATGGCTTTTGATAATCTCAAGGAACATGGATTTCATACCATTCCTTTCTTGAAGAAAGCGGTACTAAGTTCTAAATCTAACTTGTTTTTCATATTTTTTACAATCATAATTACATAAAATGATCGAACAAAATGGTTTCAAGTATAAATCTAACTTAGTGTAACTATGTGTTTCAGTGGGCGGATTTATGCAAAGCTTATCTATTGGAGGCAAAATGGTTTCACAGCGGATACAAACCAACCTTTAAAGAGTATATTGATAATGCTTGGGCTTCTATTGCGGCTCCTGTAATATTATCACATGCTTGTTCCTTAACTCTAGAGTCAACAACAAAGGATTGCTTGGAGCACTGGAAGGAACATTTCAATATAATCTATTGCTCGTCCTTGAAGGAGATCCTTTGATGATTTGATGATCATATCATATAATTGATTTTTTGTTGATTCACATTATCTAACGCTTATTTCTTTGTATTTGTGTTGATTAGAATGAAGTAGAAGGAGGCGATGTTCCGAAATCGATTCAATGCTACATGCATGAAACCGGCTCTTCCGAAGCGGAAGCCCGTAAGTACGTAAGGAAGTTAATTGATACAACATGGAAAAAAATGAACAAAGAACATCTATCAATGGCTCATTCCACCTCCTCTCCTACATTTATACAACTTGCATTGGACATAACGAGGATGGCTCAATGCATGTACCAATATGGAGACGGACATGGAGTTGCTGATCAGGAGACTAAAGATCGTGTAATATTATTACTTGTTTCATCTATTCCTTAGTTGAAAGGTGATATTGCAAGTAGTTGTGGGCTTCGATTAGGTTTTTTAATGGAATAACATAGATGTATTAATGTATATCTATTAATCAGACGATGAAAAGTTAATAGAAATAAAGTTAAGTGAATGTTGTGACTATGACTATGGTGATTGTGATTAACGACGGGTAGGGTTTGACAGTTGCTCGTGCTCTTGTTCACTAGGCTTAAATTGTTCTTTGCCTATTTGATTTGTTTCAGATATGTCGAATTGTATTTCAAATTTTGTTATTTTAGATGCAATAAATAACTAAGCATTCTTATCCCGAAAAAAATGTTGATTTAAGAAAAACAAATAATTAAATTTTTAATACGTACATAAACAAGAAATCAACCATGCTCCCAACCTTTTCGGAGAATAATGAAGACCCACGTAACCCTAAAAAACCAATGCGACGCGATGAAGATCCGCCTGACGCCGGAGGCTCTACCCCGTAGATGACCCCTTGGGTCAAAACACCATCCAACTTGTATCTGAACCAGCGCCAATGGATACCGCTGAAGCCTCTTTTCCACCGCCGACTTCTGCTCCTAGGATTTCTCTTATAAAGATGAACTGATGGTGACTCCCATACTATTTCTGAAGACGAGGATATTGTTGAGGATGAAATAGAGATACTAGAAGGCGATGTCTCGCGTTCTGTGATAGATGGAATAATTTCAATTGACTTTTCAAACAGAATCCAAACTTTGGCGGTTAAAAGTCTTGATTTGACTGTCCTTGTGAAGCTGCTTGGGCGACGGATCCGGCTACAACACGTTGCGTGGAAAACTTTACGATCTATGGAAACCAGTTCAACCTTTTCGCCTAATGGATAACTATTTCTTGGTCACTGTCAGGTCTCAATCGGATTTCTTGAAGGTTATTTCGGAAGGGCCCTGGATAATTTTTGGGAGCTATCTTACGATCGAACTTTGGTCGTTAGATTTCTCTCTTTCCCAACCTTTCCCACGAAAGGTGAAAGGTTGGATAAGGCTGTCGGGTTTACCAGTCACGCTCTATAAATTAAGCATCATTAAGGAAATCGGTGAGTGCATTGGTCCTGTGATCCGCATAGATTATCAAACTGACAGTGGAAGACACGGTCGCTTCGCGCGTGTGGCTATTTCTGTTGACCTTCACAAGCCTTTAATCTCAAAACTGATCATCAACGGCAACATCCAAACGGTAGAGTACGAATCTTTGCCTACCATTGTTTCTCATGTGGTAAGTACGGTCACACTCAAGATATCTGCCCTGATTTGAACTCTAATATGGATTCTGTGCCAATTACCGAAAAGCAGCCTCCCTAGAAAAATAGATGGTTGAATCTGCTACTTACGGCCCCTTGATGGTTGTTGAGAGAAGACAAATGAGAGCTACCAAAAACAAGGCAGATTCCAAGACTCAAACCCAGAACAATCCTATTGTTGCCTCTCGCTTTAACCCTATTTTTGAAGGAGGAGAAGAAGACATTGCTAAAAAAAGTCATCCTATTACCAATGAAAATGATAGGGTAAAGTATATAAATGGTAATAAACTTTTTAGATACTTGCATTTAGGTCTTTCAACTTTTAAAACTTGCAATACAGTTACTAAACATTTAGTTCATTTGCAATATGGTTTCCGACGTAACGGGCGATTCACTGTCGTTAGAGTAAATTATATAAATGGTCACTGGACTTTTCAGACGCTTGCATTTAGGTTCCTTTACTTTTAAAACTTGTAACACAATCATCAATTACATTCTAAACCCCAAAATCCAAAATGTTTTAATTACATTCTAAACATCAAATTCCAAAATACTTCAATTACATGCCCAACCCCAAATTCAAAATCAAATCTCAAAATCTATCATAACAAATTGAACTTGAAACAACAACCCTAAACCCTCAAAACATAATTGTTTCAAAAAAAATTAACCAACTATAAGTGATAAGTGATTATGTTGGGTTTAAGGTTTAGGGTTATATTGGACCTAAATACTCAATTCAATTTATAAAATAGTTGACTCGAATTTTTTTCGATTTGAGTTTATAAAATTTAAATCAAGTCGAATTGAATTGATTTTCGAGTTTCTATTTAAATTTAATTATAATATTTATCATATTATAATATTATTTTATTCTAATTCAGTTTAGTTTATAAAATAGTTGACTCAAAAAAATTTCGATTTGAATTTATAAAATTTAAATCAAGTCGAATTGAATTGAATTTTTGAGTTTCTGTTTAAATTTAATTATAAATATTTATTATACTATAATATTATTTGATTCTAATCAAATAGTTTTTAACCATATACAATACATATATTTCTTCATATTTTTTCCATATGTCATACATATATCAATGGACTTGACTCAAACTTAAAAATTAATCCACTAATTACTAAAATTTTTGAGATATTCAGTTGTATTTTACAACTCGATTTTAACTTGAAATTTTTTTAAGTTGAGTTTATGAAATTACAACTCAAAGTCAATTTGTATCAAATTTTTGAATCAGTTCAAGTCGAAAAATAATTTTTTCGAATCAAATTGAGTATTGTTCACTTATAGTTGGTTAAATCTAACTTTTAAATCCTAAACCCAACATAATCACTTATTGTTATGAACCCAAAATTAACTAAATGTTGTTGATTATGTTGGGTTAATTGATGGGAAAATTTAGTATTTAGGGTTATGTTTTGAGGGTTTAGAGTTACTGTTTCAAGTTCAGTTTGTTATGGTAGCTTTTGAGAATGGATTATGAATTTGGGGTTGGTCATGTAATTGAATTATTTTTGGAATTTGCTGTTTAGAATGTAATTGAAATATTTTGAAATTTGGGGTTTAGAATGTAATTGATGGCTGTGTTGCAAGTTTTAAAGTTAGGGGACCTAAATGCAAGCTCCTGAAAATTTCAGTGACCGTTTATATACTTTACCCAAAATGATATTGGCACCTCTCGGATCCCAGCTCTTCGGACACACTCCCATGGAGAGGAACCTGTCACTGACGCACCAAAAAACCAAAGAAACAAACCGGTCATTACCGTCCGTAAGCCATTGGCGGTGATCTCCAATAATCCTATTATTCGTTCCTATACTTCTGCTATCACCTCTCGACCTGTTCCACGTTTTTCTCAACGCCTTAATAGCTGGATCGTTGATATTTATGAAAATGACGATCCTAATGTGGTTCAAGATCCAATGCTTCAGGATCACCCGAGCTCAGCAAATTACACTCTCCCGCCGACTGATCCCCCCGATGATTCTGCTATGGGAACAGCACAGTCTGATGCTAAGATTGATGATCCCAAACATGATAGTCACTGAGATGCACATTGATTTGGTCGTTGAACCGAGCTCGGATATTCCCGTCTAAGGTTCTTTATCTGTTTTCCTCCATACCTTATGTTTATTTTAATGAATTTAAAATTGTTCAGTTGGAATATGCAAGGTTGTGGACATCCGAAATTTTTGTCCGCAATCAAACAATACATGAGAGATTATAAACCTGATGTGGTTGGTCTTTTGAACCTCGTGTAAGTGGTTTTAAAACCGATTCCTTTATCACTTCTCTGGGTTTTCCTCACTAACACCGCATCGAGGCTGCAGGTTTCGCTGGTGGTCTTTGGATTTGCTGATTTGATTCTGTCACGGTTAATATTTTGCAGAATCATTTTCAATTTTTACACTTCTGAATCCATTGCAAAGCCGACAATAAATCTTCTTTGGGAACTCTTGTTTATGCTAGTCCCAATGCTACGAAAAGGAAAAAGCTGTGGTCTAATCTTCGGCATCTTGCTTCAAATATTTCTTCTCCGTGGATTCTATTTGAAGACTTCAATGCCACTTTGACTATGGATGATAGAATGGGTTGTGCTTCTTTTTCTAACGTACAAGAAAAGATAAATGAAAGATCCATCTTTGAGCTTTTGCAAATACACACAATGATCATATTTGCTTTTAGTATACTTTTGCCTCCTCATAAAGCTATCAAATCGCTTGTACCACTGCCTCGGAGATTGCTTCAATCCATATAGCGATTTGTTCAGCTTACAAACCCATTTCTCACAACTACCATCTTTGTATCCTTCTGGCTGAGTCAATAGATCTCCTCTTATAAATCATCGTGCAAGAAAGCCGTCTTTACATCAAGTTGAGCTAACTCCAAATTCAACTGTGCTACCAAGGCCAATAACATTCTAATGGAGGAATGCTTCACAACAGGGGAAAATACTTCATTGTAGTCGATTCCCTCCTTTTGAGCGTAGCCTTTAGCTACCAACCGTGCCTTGTAGCGAACATCTTTCTTGCTATGAGATCCATCTTTCTTTACAAATACCCACTTGCATCCAATGGCTCTTTTACCTTTCGATAATTGTGTCAGTTTCCAAGTGTTGTTCTTTTGGAGAGATTGCATTTCTTCATCCATAACACTTTTCCACTTATCACTTTCCAAGCTTTATATTACTTCTTGGTAAGTGACAGGGATATATCATCATCAATAACTAGAAGAGCATATGCCATCATATCAATAAATCGAGCAGGTCTACGAATTTCTCTCCTTGGCCTTGTAACTGCAAGTGGTTCTGATGTCTCCAATGGTTCTTGGGTTTGAACCTCTTCATCTTCTGATTCTTCTATTGGAGTTGAAGAATCAGTTGCATCAACTTCTGGGATCATCGTCTGCTAAAACTCCACCTGTTTTGGAGTATGCTTCACCTGCTGCGGAGTACTACTTGTCTGGACAGCTTCACTTGTTACCTTCTTTACTAGGGCAGATTCATCAAAGGTAACATCTCTGCTACAAATTATCTTCTTGGTCTCTAAACACCAAAGGCGGAATTCCTTCACTCCATGGGTGATTCCCATAAAGAGTCTTCTTTGCTCTCGGATCAAGCTTGATTCCTTCTCATGATAATAAGCAGTGGATCCAAATACATGTAAGAAATCATAATCAGTAGCAGGTTTTCCAGACCATACCTCCAATGGTGTTTTTCCTCTTATCACTGATGATGGCAGACGATTGATGAGATGGCCAGCATATGTCACA